GTGTGTGTGTGTGTGTGTGTGTGTGTGTGTGTGTGTGTGTGTGTGTGTGAATATCTGAGAGTCGGTATTAAGGCATCCATAATTATAGCATTGAAGGTAATTTATTCAAGCATACCAGTTTGTTTGATCTGTTTTGACAGTTGGCAAACTAGCAGTTTGAGTTAGATTGATGCCTCCTTGCGTAGGTGAAGAATTCCTTTGAATATTCTGTCTTCTTATTTTTTTTTGTGCTAGAAGATAATTATGGGAAGATTTGGACAGGAAGTGGCTTTGCGAGCTCCAACAGGAAATACTAATGTATTAAAGTAAAGGCGGTTTATAACAGAAGGCCTGCATTAGAAACTGGGGGCATGTAGTTTGACAGGCGCAGGTGCGGCGTGTCTAAGACTGCGTTGCATTATGGGAAATGTAGGATCCAGCGTTTTGGAGCTTGAGCCATACCAGGTACTTAAAGACGGGAATATTTCAGTTCGTGCTGCTTTGTTACTGAGCGATACCTCAACTTTGTACATGTTTTATTTTACCATCAACAATCTGTGGCAGCATCAGAAGTCTGTAGGAGAAAGCACAAGCAGCCCACGTTCCCTGAGCACAGCTCTTGTGGTTGCTGCAGCCTCAGTGGGCTCATCAGCTCCAGAGCCGCCACGACACCCTGACGGAGGACCACAAGCTCCAGCTTCAGAGATCTGGACTTGATTACTTGGCAACTTGCACTGATGATGGGCAAAACCAGTCCAAAATGTTTCTTCTATTTAAAGATATCATCTGAGGAATTTTCATCTTTATATGGTTATGTTGTAGTGGAAAAAAAAACATTCCGTTAAGAGAATCAAAATGACTGACTCTGGGAATGTGGTTTTTCAGGAAAAATGTCTATGCGCCAGTTCTGTGATCAAGTATGTTATTTAACTCTTAAATTTCAATGTAATCCTTTAATATGTGGCGAAAAGAACTACCTGATGGCTTCTAAAGCAGCTCTGTTTTGAAGCACTTTGAGAAGACACTTTATCTCCCTTAACTTATGAAATGTGCAAAAATCCAGAACGGAGTCCATGTTGGAAAAACACATCTGTAGTTTCTGATGTGGCTGCCAGACAGACACCTGAAATAGACATTACCCAAAAAATCAAACAGGAACGTGCTGCGCTGCTATATTAAGGCATTTTTTTTCATCTCTTAACATGTCCTAACCTCAAAACCTCAACGCTCAGCAGTAACGACACATTGTGCAACAACAAAGCTCAGTCGGCAGTGCTATCCAACCTGTCTGGGGAGTGTTTTTTCTTTTTCAAACATGTTTATTCTCTCGCGTCAAGTCGTATCGTGTCTCTCATTACTTTTCGAATCGTAAAAAAAAAAAGAAAGAATCTGTTGTGTCCAATTCTCCTCGCCTGCAGTCCGTCCGCGCACGCTGGCAGTTTGTGAATTTATTTTCTTTTTGTAATTGGTTTTGGTAACAGCATATGCTCACCAGACGCGCTCTTTCGCTCTGCATGTGTGTTCGTGTTCGGAGATGTTTGGATAGCAGCGATGTGGCAGAGATAACTGGCAGAACCCGATATTCCCCAATAGCTTTGCCCTAAACCACAACATCCAGCTCTCTCCGTGCTGTGCCTGCCTCTCACTCAGTGTATCTTGAATTTATGTAATTGTAGACTTGAGACATCTGTCAAAGGCATTGCATTCAAGCGAGCCAGGGCCTATCTCTGAAAATGTCATTATGCTCGGTTGCCTGGCCCATGCCAAGAAAACATTCAGACTTTGTACCACGGTATTTTGAGAGGGACAGAAAACCGCAGAGAAGGAGTTTGGTTGTGTAAACGCCGTGTTGTGACTCGCGAGCCGGCGGAGGGCTGGGCCCCGGCTCTTGCGGCTGTTCAGAAATAGTCGGTTTTTCGCTTTGCGGGGGCCTTTTTCGCGGCGAGCTGCCGAGCCCAGTGCCGTCGGGACATCCTGGACTCTGGCAGGGCGCGAGCATGCGGCAGGAATGAGGCCACGTTTATGGTCTTGATTGGGGTCGCGCTGGTTCCTGACCTTTTTTAGACTCAGACGGGGATGGGAAGAAAAAAAATAGAAAGTGCCCCGGAGAAATGGAGTTAAAACAACAAAATTCTCTGATTTCGTGACCTCCTAGCTTCCCTCCATTAATAGCCCTCTCCTGAGAGAAGCTCCCTCGCTTGAGTACACAAAACATATCCAGAAATATGCATGTCTGCCGTGGCACTTTTCAACTACACATCTACTACTTTAGCTGCTCTCTGTCAACTGAAAAATGTAATGATACACCCAATGCTCCGATGAAGGATTGTTTTGTGCTGTCTCACGCATGGCAAAAATATCTTGAATTGCATTTCTTTTGGAAAACCTGTTTCAGCCATCAGTACTGCCATGAGGAAGCTGATCATCTGCACTAAGAGGAGTCCCACATTCTAGACAAAACGTCCTCCTTTAGGGGCGTAGAAATTAGGCAGATTGCCCTGCAAGTGGAGCACGCTGGTTCAAGCGCCCCATGTCTGCAAGCACCCGTCCTGCTGAAGTGTCCTTGAGCAGGACACTGAACACCCCTGCCAGCTCCGCTAGCTCCGTCCTCTCTGAACTCTGACCTCCCTGGAAGGGAGGCAGGCAAACTAAAAGAGAATTCCCTTCGGGGACCAGTAAAGTGTGACATTATCCTGCTCCCCCCCTCTCCGAGTCTCCACTACAGTCTGCCGCTTGTCTGCCCCCACAGAAGCCGCCGCCGCTGCTGGGGCCACCGGGGGAGCTGCTTGGGGAGCCGCCGGAGGGCCAAACGCTGCTTGCCAGAAGACCAAGGAGCACGATGTGGTGCAGCGGCAGCGGGTGGTGGACCTCTGGAAGGACGGCAAGTCCGAGGGGGCCATCGGGCAGGAGCTGAGGATGCCCAAGTCCACGGTGCACAGCATCATAGTCAAGTACCGCCTCAGCAACACGGTGGAGAACCTGCCGCGCAACGGCCGACCAAAGAAACCATGAGGGGAGGATGAGGGGACGTTTGGATGAAACATCCAGGAATGTAACAAAAAATGGAGACAGTGAAAGCTGAAAAGGAGAGACGAATGCCTGTGGATGAAGTCCAAAAAAAGGGCCCAAGGACAGAGCACTTTGACACTGCTGGAATGTGAGGAACAGAAAGGGAGAAGTAAAGCTCACTGGATGGATCGAATAAAGATGGGAGGCAAAAAGGAGAGGACATGAAAAGTGAAAAGTCGTGGCGGCACTTGAAAGAAAACAAGCAATCAACTGCAGAGAGAGAGAGGGGGGAGAGAGCTGGCTCTGAGATTAAGCACTAATGATGCGTGGGGGTGGGGGGGGAGGGACAGAAACAAAGAGAGATGACCTGTCTGGAACAAACAAATCCTTGCGTAAAGAGAAATGGCGCTACTGAAAAAAAAAAAAGGCCCAAAAAGCTGACTTTGAGAGGAAAGATGTCTGGACTGAAGGGTGGAGAGAGAGAAAAAGAAGACGGTATGTTAATGCAATCACAGGTTTTTCAGGAATTCAGATATGAAGGCCGAAATGAAGAAGAATGCAGAACAAAGAAGGACTTTTTTTTTAATCTTTCTAAAACTCCTCAGACTGATTTCTCGAGACTTTCTCTTTCTGTTTCTCCCTCTGCGGCGAAAAAAGAAGATTTCCCCCCGGATCAATTCTTCATCCGCTGGCTGAGTGAACAAGCCCATCCCCTCGCTCTGACCCTGTACTCCCTCATTCCTCCACAGGCCTCAATCCCTCCGTCTCTCTTTCTCAGTCTCACGCATACGCACACATAAATATATATATAAATATATAAATATATATATATATATATACAGCTATATACACTGTGGACCTCACACACAACCTGAAAACCTGCAAAGAACTTCATTCATCTGCCTAGTGCAGGCACATGAAATCCTAACTCTGAAGAGAAAAGGGATGAACTGAGATTATTTTAGATTAGATACATTATCTATCAGGAAAAAAAAAGGAAATAAGGGAAAAAGAGAGTTTTCTAAGTCCTGAGTCCAACTAAGCATAGGAACAAGAACCGTCGATATAAAAAACGTAGACGTTGCCTTTGTCCAACGGTCAGTAGCAACGTTGCTCTGGCCCAATTGAGAAATGTACTGTATTAAAAAGCATATTTACTATTGCACCTTTTTTTGTGGGGGGGGGGGGGACTCAAAAAGGGGAATATCACTCCTCTGATCACAATATATCACAAGAAAAGAATATCTGTATTTACGAGCTGCTCTTCCCAAAGCTAAAGACCGTAATCTGTCATCGGGAGAAAGAACAACGGGGACTCACTTTGAAGCTCGCGGAGACATTTTTGGTTCCTGGAGCTTCTTTATTGTGACAGTGTGATGGATTCCACGCTGGAGAATGTCCCCCGATCCCCGAGAAATTAAAACACTCTGGACTGTGTCATCGTTTTTCCAGCTCAGTGTGACATCACAGACTAAGATGGGGTTTTTTTGCCTCGTTTCTGGAAGGAAGAGAGGCGAACAATCAGTTTCACAGTCTGAATATTTCTAGGCCGTATGAGTATTTGTAAGCTAACAGTGAGTGGTATTTCCCTTTAAGCCGAAAGGACATAAAGACCAGAGAAGTGTGGCATGGTGCGGCCTGCAATGAGAAGGTTGAGGAATGCTGTATGTGAGTGTGAATGTGTCTGTGTGCATGGTAGCATTTTTTTAATCAAAACTGGGTATCGTTTAAAGCGTTCAATATTGGTGAATATAGGTTTTTTACAATGTTTTCCACAAAACGTAACAATACTTTACGTTTATTGGAACACAAAGCAACCATACAAGAATTGTACTTAAATATGATACAGTCTAAGGACCCATTCACACCAAAACACGTTGCCAAAAAACTCAACTCGCGGCTCCTCTCAGCAGAACGTTTCATCATCTTTCCGCTCATTGGTTCGTTTTTTTACGCTCTGTAATTTTACCGTTTCCGTTCAGTCTCGCCGGTCTCATCGACATCGTTAACCAGCTGCAGGCAGCTGTTTTTTGTTTTCAGTGAAAAAAGCTCCAATACATCCACTGTACCCTACCGGTCCAGCACCAAAGACACGGACGGACGACGTTAGCGACTATAGCTGCTGAACAAAGTGGAGCATTCAGCAGCTAAAGGGCCAGAAAAGTCCTTCAGGAGTTGGAGGAGACCAAAACGGAGCTAAAAGGAGAGAACTTGCACGCAATTCCAAATGAATGGTGATGTTGCTCCTTGTCTGCAGGACGTTTAAATAGGCAACTCACATTAATCAATTAATGTTAATCATTAATATCAACCTCACAAGATGATGTGTCAATGATGGGATGCTTAAAAAAATCAATTAATACAGGTTTAAATCAAGAAATACCTGATCAGTGAATAAGTTACCGAGACGAAGAATCTGACCAAGAAAGTCTTAATAGAAAACATAACACGCACACAGGGCATAGACATGCATGTAAATCAATTTTTTTTTTTACCGAGCAATCCTTGTTTGATTACTTACAAACTCTTGCAACACATGGGTCTGTGCAGATCTTTTCAAGTCTCAGCTGGGCAGACTTTTGATTCCAAAAAAAATCAAACTTGTGCTTTTATAGATTCTGAACACTTTGACAGTTCAGAGGCAGAAGGTTGTTCCCGATGAAAGCTCTTGGCAACGATACACTCACGCAAACCTGTGTTTTCCTGCCAAGATGGCAGCGTTCACTCCTCTCAGATAGTAGCGGGACCTACAGGGAGAGACGTGACGGCCAGGAATGTTTTATTGCCTTTCTGGGCTCGAGACGCTCTATGCATGGAAGTCCCAGAGTTCCAGGGGCAGTAGATGAATATGTTTTAGGAATTCCTTAAGATGTCGTCCAGGTGTGGGCCGTTGGATTCATCATATTATTATTTTTTTTAACTGTAGCTGCAAATATCACGGCCAACCTATTTCGTCTGTGTGTTGAACAATGTGTGCTGCTACTGTGAAGAAGAAGAAGAAGAAGAAGAAGAAGAAGAAGGGATCTGTATGAAGGCAGATGGAGGAGTTTGGAGGGTTAGATGGTGAAGTTTTCGCCGAGTGAATTTGGCTTCGCAGAGCGATTCTGTTATCTGGCCAAAACATATTGGCTTGTTTATTTATTTTTAATTATGCTTCCCCGTTTGGACGCGTTATTTATTTTCTTTGTCCGTCTGTCCGTCCCATTCTCGTGACCTCGTTATCTCAGGAACGTCTGGAGGGAGCTTCTTCAAAATTTGGCACCAACGTCCACCTGAACTCAAGGATCACCTGATTAGAATTTGGTTATGAAGGTTCACTGTGACCTCACACACATTCCATAACTCAATAATTCAAATGCTAATCATGACACACAAATGTCCAATAGAATAAAACGATGAAGTGATGACATTTAGGACAGACATGGATGTAAACTACACCTTGACGAGGCGGTATATATCATTTTTTAAATAACCATATATGTTTTTTATAAGGATCCTTTTAATTCGTTTTTTGAACATTTATGTTCTAAATATGAACCGAGCGGGATGTTTTACAGCTGAAAAATGTACTTATAATCGCTCTCTAGTGGACAACGGACGTCATCACATCTTTTTGCATTTCTGCACAGCACTGTCTTTCTGTTGCATTGGCCATGGCGACGCATCGGACAGGCTCTATTTTCTCGTCCTGTCTTTTTCCATCTCATCATCCCTCTCTCTTTCACGTCTATGTCCTCTGTCTCTTTTTTTCCACTCCAATTCCTCGTGCTCTTTCACCCAGTCTTCACCTCGATTTGTTTTGCTTCTTATCAGATTTTGTCCGCCCACACACACACACACACACACACACACACACACACACACGCGCGCTCACTGACTCCGTCTCTCTTCTTCCTCTTCCCCTCTGTTGGCCTCCGCTGGCAAAATGCCACAAGCTTCCCCATAAGTGGTCCCCACCTCTGGTTCTAGAGACACACACATAGTTAGACCCCCCCCCTTCCTCCCAAACGTCTTCAGCTCAATACACTCCTTATCGCAGCTTTGATCTGCACAGGGGTGTCATGTCAATTTATCTTTCCCAGCGGCGCGAGTGAGAGAAGTGCGCTGTTGGTCTATTCCTGGCTTTGTTTTGAAAGGAGCGCTAAACTCGCCGTTCCACTCCCCGAGCAGATTCACGATAGCGCACAAATGTGGGAGCCGCAGAGCCCTTCGCTGGCCAGCTGTGCAGACGTGTAGAAAGAAGTTCATTTCCGTGTGTTTGTGTGTGTGTTGCACGTTGCAGGCCTCACTTTCTCCAGGTTAACAGTTATGCATTCTGGGGTTTTATCAATATTGTAAACATGATACTGTATAATGTAATATGACACATTGATTAACTGTAATATGCAAGCTTGCTCATTATAAAGATGATCAAAGTATATATAAGCAAGGCTGGATGCACTTTCATTGGGACGCCTCGGTTGCATTATCGGTGCATAAACAACGTCCAGATGATTGGCAGGTTGCCATTTCAGCACCAGAGATGTTTTTTAGATCAACTTTGCTTTATGTCGCAGAGGAGGACGACATTTATTCTCGTCCTTCTTTGTCAGCTCAAGAGGATCGTACAATAAACTCAATTGCGAGTGGGAAAACTCAAAATAGGGGTAAAACTTTGGATAACATGTGAAACAATGACTCTATATGCTTGGAATAGCTGGAAACATGCACCTAAGAAACATCCACAAAACATAAGGCTAGTAGTAGTAGTAGTAGTAGTAGTACGTCCAGATGTCAAACCTATTGGACATTGACTCTACTGCATACATGAATCCATAGATCCATCCATAGATATCCAAAAGATGTCCCAGGGCGGGACTAACAGTCCCTCTGAAGTTGCATGTTTTCATGTTGTTGAGGGTCACTTTTGTTCCCGTTCGAGCGGGAATTTTCCGTTTTTCAGCAAGCGAGAGAAAACGTCGAGGCCAAAGAGGCGCTGCATGTTGAACCGACTTGAACTGAACTCACACTCTGGCGTCTCCTTCTCTCTCCCCCTGCAGTGTTGAACGGGCCTCCCATGTCTGTGAAGAAGGAGCGGGAAGCAGAGCTGCTCCTCAACCGGCGGGAGCAGCGCAGCGGAGAGGTCATCTGTATCGACGACTAGACTACACACACACACATCCGCACACACACACACACACACACACACACACACACACACACACACACACACACACCCACTGTAAACCATCTGTTGCAAAGATATCGTGGTAAACGCTGTTCAGAACATTGAACTACACATCCAGTATTAAAACTAATTGACTGGCTTAGGGTGCACTTATTGCCCCACTTGTGATTGTATACTTGCTTCATTCACATAGACACACATCTTCTAAAACTAAAACGTTGCAGACTGGTACAACCCTAAAAACTACAATCACACACACATACAGTACACAAACGCACACACACACACACACACACACTTAAAGTGCATACAGTCCATATTGTCTCATAACTTCATGTGACCTTCTCTTGTCTGCCTCAAACCATTATACTCCTCATAAGTGGGCCTCTTCACACAGGCCTCCTCCTCTTGGGATGCTTCTAACCTCAGCTACACACACACACACACACACACACACATACACGCTCAACACACCTCAATCCTAAAAACATTTAGATCTCACAATGAACCATGTAACCTTCCTCCTCCTCTTGACAGAAAGCTGCATGTGAAACTAAGAACACTCCATCCCCTGAAGCATGCGCTAATCACAATAATGCTGACTCGTGGAAAGGACAAAAAAACAAAAAAACAATGGCGTCAAGCTGTGCCTCCAGTCGTTTTAATACTGTTTCTAATCCTCCCAGAAGAGGCTGAACCTTCTCAGTCCGAGCAGCTCCAAGCACAGCTCCAGGTTTCTTTTTAGCTTTTCTTTTTCCCTCCAATGGTACATGTTCAGATAAAAACACGCAGATATGTTCATTATGTTCAGGACTTGTTCGACCACATTTACTTATTTGCCGCCATCCCACCCCGCTTTCCCGGGTTCTAGTTTATGTAAAGAGCTTTGAGGTATTTTGGGGGTTATGACGCTATTTTTCAGAAACCTCCTATGAATGTTTATAACCTTTTCATAAGCAGGTCAGTGTTATTAAAACCCATCCATCACCTTGAACACTCCTCTTGACGACCCCCTCCTCTCCCTCTCCTCCCTTCAACCTCTCTCAATTGTTTTCCTCCCCCAACTTTCTATTTCTTTCCACAAAATCCTGTGATATACTTTGCATATTTAAACAAGCTCATTCGTGTTCTCTTGTGTTTTTACTCCTGCGATTATGAGTGCCGTCGTCGTCGATGTTGCCGTTGTTCCTCGCCGTTTGCTATTTGAGAAAGAGCTTCTACCAAAAGAGACGGTTTTTTTTTGTAACGAGTAACTACGCAAAAAAACCGATCCAGTGTGTGCGCGACACACAAACGCACCACTTTGCCATGTTCGCCCTATAATTGCAAGAGAGTGCAAACGAAGACGTTGAGCTAACTTCAGAGGTAGATATATGACAAGGAAACGTGTTTTTCTTGCTTGCGTTTTAGATTTGGGGCTTGCAAATGACATATACATATATAAGAAAATAGGCCATATGTAACCCTAAATGCTTCTATGAGCGGAAATGTATACTATCGTACCCCAGTAAAAATACACAGTTATTATCTGGAAAATCGAAGGCTGGAAATCCATTTTATATACCGCATCATTAAAAAACGCCTTAAACATAGCTGAACAAATGTAAAGTCATGGAACTGAATTAAGAACCTGATGTCAACCTGTAAATCCTAGTCAGAGTCTGCTTTAAGTTAAAACTTAAAAAAAATATGATAGTTACTGTAGGAGTTAATTTATCTCATGAACCCTGGACATTTTATGCTGATCTTCCCAGGAAATAGTCAGAGTCCATTTTACCAATTATGTTCCACACAGATGTTTTTGCAACCCCTGAACTAAAATGTTAAAATGTTCTTTTTTCCCCCCACTTTTACTTTGTCCTCTCTCCAGATTTTTCTGTGTTCATTTCTGGGTATCTTGTGTACGTAGTGGTGCCGATCAAATGATGAGTGGCAGTGAAACATGTCGATGATGACGCACCTTCTTTTTTTTTTTCTTTCTTTATTTTTTTGTTTGTAATAAAACTGAATGAAATGATAAAAAGCACTGTGTGTGTTTTTTTGGAGATGGTGTTTGTATTTCACACACACTGCCATGCCTTTTAGCAAAGGATGGTAACGTTGGTTGGTCCGTTATTTTTTTATTTTAGTTGCCAGATCTCGCGAGAGTCTGTTGCTGAAACACAAAGGTCTCGCACAAAGTTAATTTTCGGAAGATGGTTTGTGGAAAAATGGGTCCAATATTTACTTTAGTGACTGTGGGTGACAGAATCGGTCATAATCCGTGTTCATGTTCACTTCTCCCATTGGAGGTAATAGAATCAGCTCCTGCTGCAAGTCTCATGGCAAAACCCACATGGCGAATACAAATCACATACTTTTGCTTTTTACTTTTAGTACACACTGCAGCTGCCCTTACAAAGTACGTACTATTGCATGCAGTATGCATGACAAAAGTACCAGGATGTTCTACTACATCCAGTTGCATTTTGCAGAATGCTTTTCTGACTACTCTGACCCACAATCCTTTGCACATTAGAAATATGAGCAAGAGGGTCAAAGTTTAAGAAGCCATGTTATGAGTAAGTGGACTGTACCATTTGAATTCACACTGCATCCAACAGTACATACTATTTAATTTAGTTTTTGACCAAATACCTACAAAACTAATGGCAGCTTCAGCTATAATTAGGCGTCGTCCTAATTAGCATATTTAAGCATGCTAACATGTTAAACTATGTCTGAATATGGTACATTGTACCTGCTAGACACGTGAGCATTGTCATTGCATGCTGACCTTGTAAAAATACCAACTAGCTAAATGCTAATATACTCGCGTTGTATTCTGCAGCAGTGACTTCTGAATGTACCTCGGACGTTATGTTTTATGATATTTAAAACGTTGAGGAGAGAGGCTGAATGCACTGGTTATAATCTCCTGGAGCAGACTGAGGAGGACTTCGCGGTGTTGACTGACACAGGCTGAAAAATGGAACATTTAGATAAAAAAAAAAAAAAAAGAAGGTTGAAGCATCACTTTGCAGAAGAAAATGTACTCCTATTTATCTTTTGGTTGATGAATGAAGGCAAATAAAAAAAACATCACCTCTGATTTAGCAAACGGTCGTCTTCAGAGATCATTAATTGCCGTCAATCTGCTGTGGTGTCTGTGGACGCGAGGAGGTGTGGGCGGCTGTGAGAGCGACGCAGTGATTCAGTGTCTCCTCTTCACAGGCCTTTATCACACTTTATAATGTCTCTCCCACACACACACACACACACACACACACACACACACACATAACAACAACCTTGAGGAGCAGATGGTTAGTGATTCATGATGACCAAAAAGCTAGGAGTCTCCCTGCTCAGTATTTACTGTTATCTCAGCTTTATGATTCCTAGAGGCCCCTATGGGGCGGCTGTGGCTTCAGGAAGTGGAGCAAGTCGTCCACTAATCACTAGAACGGTGGTTTGAACCCCGGCCAAGTGTTTTTGGGTAAGATACAGAACCCCCAATCTGCTCCCGAAAGGCTGTGCCATCGGGGTGAGTGTGCGTGGATGAGCATTTAGATTAAATCATGATGGGCAGGTTGACACCTCCCATGAACGCCTCTGCCATCAGTGTGTGTAGCATGTGTGTCGTGCACGAACGCAAGTCCATTTACCATCAGGGAAGAGTCTGGAGATTAGGACGACTCCCTCTCAGTGCGCACTGACAGGTTCATTATGGAGAATATATTGACTGTTTCCTGTGAATGCTCCTCTGTACTGTACATTCAGACATTTATGTTTCAGGCGTGACGTTTTTATGTGGTGAAACTTCAGAAAGTACTTAAATGGCTAAATGTAGGACATTTTAACTGGTATTGTTGAGAGTATAATTAAACCAAAGTATGTCGTATTCACTCTCCAGATGGTACTGATAGGTATTTGTTTGCGATGTAAGAACATTATTTATATATTATTGCATAAAATGGACATCAAACTTGCAGATACAGCAAAACAAAGTTGTTCGTTTGATGAATTAGATGACGTTTTGCAGTTTGTGTGGTACTATTTTTGTATTTTTCCAAAGCTAGTTGCTAATTGTTGGTCTGCTGTCGGTGCTACTTCTTTCACATTACACGACGACCATCTTTTAATGCAAAATATACGCTTCAAATCAGCTTTAAATGTATTAAATGTACATTTTGACGACTCATTACATTTTCTGGAGGCACACAAGCGGTTTTTCATGAAAACAAATTTGAAGGAATTTCTCCAAAACAACAAAAAAAGTTTATTCAACAGTTATGAGTGAGTTGAGAAGACATGGAAAACAAAAAAAATCAACCAGGCATTGCATAAATCATAATTTTACAGAAAACTTCTTCACGAGACTTCACAAGAATTTCCGATGTGATCAAAAACTTTGAAATTTAGAAAAATAGGAATCGGGGCAGGGAAGTGTGTGAGACGGTGTGTGTGTGCGTGCATGTTTTTTCTCAAAGACTTTCAGCTATGTGGTTCAGGTTCAGATTCAGGAAGTGAAAATTTAGATGTCTGCTGGGGTTTGTGTGTGTGTGTGTGTGTGTGTGTGTGGTGGGGGGTGAGAGACACACAAAAAGGAAGAAGAGGAAAACAATGAGGAAATCACACAGGATATAACGTCTACATTGTTCCATTTGAAAACACGACTGTTTGGCTCCAATTAAAAACACTACGCTCGCTGCAGTAAAGTGCTGAGGAGGAACCGGTGCGGTCCGTCCACAAAAACTACTTATAAACAAGAGTGGGAGTGCTGAACCCACTGCTAGAAATACACACTGTTTGTATTGTAGCGGGGGAATATTACAGACAGCAGCGGCGTATGAGAGAATGGAAGGAATTTCATTTTCTAAAAATAAAGAAGTGACCGAGAAACCTTTCAGAACAAACATCAGATGCTTAATATGAATATTGGATATTGGTGAATCTTCCTAAATCAATTGTCTGCGAGGTCATCAAAGAGTAATTTCCCAAGCCTATGATGGCAGGTTTGATCTTCTCCATGGTCCATTGGTCTCTTATTATATTAACACTATTCTTAACACCAGTAGTATTCTTTTTCTGACCGAAATTCTTTTTTCAATACAAAATCTGTGTAATATTTAATATCGGCTCTTACTTACACTATAGATTTGGACTTTTCCCAATACCATTCAATAGTTTTCTGATGATTCTCAATATGTCTCGGAGGCGATGGTTATTGTGCCATCGAACAAACAAAGGCAGAAAAGAGAGACGTGGCTATATTCAAACCTGCATGCTCTCCATAAGTCAAGCCATTAATACTATACACACAAATACCTCACAATCAAATTTGACCTTTAAAAAAAAAAAAAAAAAAAAAAAAAAAAGAGCACAAATTCACATCTATGTTATTTAAAATGTCAAAAGTAAAATGTGTGTGAAGTACATACAAAGTGTTTAAAGACTTCACACTCAGGCACACATTGCATTGTATAGGATCACGTAGACCACTCGTGTCGGGATGTGACGCTTGCAGGCGTGCTCTCAGCTTCTTGAGGCACCGGTGATATAAAAGTGGAAGGTGCATGCACAGCTTTACTGTCAGTCTTAATAAAGAGAGTGTAAGCACATTTTTATTACGTGATACGAAGGCTAAGATGAACATCTTTTTTTTGTTTTTTTTATATATGAAGCCCTTTATCAACAGCACAGCTTCCACCACGTCTGTTCTCTCGGCAGACATTCATCGAGGCGTTTTTGTCCACTTTGGGTCTTGGCTTTAATCCAAAAGTCTGTGCGTTCCGAAACAGCAGCGCGAGTAAAAAAAAAAGACACACAAAAAAAAAAAACAATTCCACAACAACTTCCACGAACGTCAGGGTCGTCTTTCAAAGGCTAAAGTGATGCCCACGACTGCTCGTGACTGTTTTCGCCAAAACAAAGAATCTCATCCATGAGTTCATTTTGTTGTTCTCAGACGAGAGCGCCGTCAGTTGACTTTAAAGATGCTGAAGATGTGAGGCGAGGCCGACGGGTTGCCCAGAGTGTGGAGTCTGAAGGAGGAGCCCGTGATGGCCTGCAGCTCCGTGCCTTTGTCCAGCCGCAGGAGGCCGGACACCTGGCAGGGCTTCAGGAAGTGGAACGGGTGCGGCCCGGCGGACGGGGTCGTCCCGTAACCCTCCATGCACTGCAGCTTCTGAGGCCTCTGGCCGCTGGTCACCACGTCCAGCTTCACGTACTGAGACTGCTGCTCGTTGAACAACACCTGAGGAGACGGAGAAGGGACGAGAGAGGTGATCAGACACAACTCGTTTCTATTCAGAGGAAAAAACCCAACCAGACCCGAGGCCCCCGCTATCGTAATTCTTTCTTTCTTTCCTCTTTTGCGGAGATTTTCTCCAGACCTGTTGACTTGACAAGACCGAGGTCTGGCTACATGAGATTACCCGAAACCAGATATCCACCTCTCCCAAAATAACATGATGTGTACCAGTACACTGGGACTGCTGTTTGTACAAAATCAAGGCTCTTTTGAATTGTTCGATACCAGCGCCAAGGTTTTGGTACTGATAATAAAAACCTTCGTTCAATACACACGAGGAATAAAATAGTCCCATCTCAGCCATACAAGGACTTTAAACTACATCTCTTCAATTCGAAAAAGTTATTGATTTCAATTCGCAAATGTCTGATAAAAGACAAAAAAAAACAACCGAGACGACATCTAGTACGTTGGCTTTTGATACTCAGTGCCATGTAAGGAACACGAGGATGACGGGAGCCATGTTGGTGCGGTTTGTCAATAAACTACAACTCCCAGCACAGACTCACCTGGCAGAACAGGAAGTAGACGCCCGCCTTCTCCACGGTGAAGGTGCCTTGTTCCTTGTTGTACCTCACCGCTTTACTCATATTCAGCGTCCTCTCCTCCCAACCCTTTATCACACCCGCCTCTCCCACTGACACACACACACACACACACACATCCAAGGTTAATCATCCCGCAGACAAAAAAAAGTGACAGATTATCTTCCATCCCTCCTTTTTACGACTCTTACCTTGCTGAGAGGAGTCTTTGGTTACTGGTGGAAAGTAAAAGAGACATTGAAATGGAGAGAAAAGGGAAAGTCAATTAAGATTTTATGAGTGCAATCGTATAGGGGTGTATGATTGAAACCACTTCAGCAGATGCTACACGAGACGGCTATAAGGGGTCTGCCAAGCCACTTACTCTCGAAATGAGACGCCGCTTTCTTTCCATTTCCATTCCTCCCTCGCAGCGCCCCCCCTTTCGGAAAAGGCAAGGGAGAGACAGAATATGAACGGCAGAGGAAATACGTCTGTGGTTTTCTTTTTTTTTGATAAAACAATCATTCCCATCTGTATCTGTCTAATGACGTGGTGTGTTCATTTGCAAGCATTTAGATTCAACCTGGCTCTTTTTTTTAACGTGGTTAGCAGATGGGCACAAGGGTTTCCTGTCACATGCTTCAATATATTTCCTCAAACTGCTATTTTCAGTCAAAAGCGTGTGCCTCTTTTTTTTTTTTTTGGTGCCTGTGGGGGCTAATCTTAGTGCCAGCTGGTCGCAGTCATCTAGAAAATGCAGAGAAAGAAGGGAGATTAAGTGAAGGAGGATGGAGAGCTTTGTGTGTGGGGGGGGAGACAAGATAGACTGCGGAAAAGTGAAAGCATTAAATGTAGCCTGAGAGACAAAAGCTTTAGAACACTAAATAAGAGAAATGAAGTGCCGGAAAGAGAGAGAGAGAGTCAAAAAGGTCTTTGGCTGCTCTGTGACCCAAAAAGAGTTGATTAAGAACAGAGTGAAGCAACAGCTCTGGCCCACCGCTCGGATAAATACAATAAATAAAACACAACGCTGAAAGGCCGGAGCTGCAGAATGCCTGCTCTTGTTACTCACTAAAGGTTTATTTGAGCTTTTTTTCAAATCTGGGCCTGCGGGGAGCGATTTCAGATGCAGATACAACCCGAATACTGTGTGCACGCGCTGAGAAACACATACTTTATGTTTGGAGACGGAGTGGCCAAACACCGGGGCCCCCGCCACCGTACAGGAATATTAAGTCCCTGCTAAAATAACTCACAGGTGGGTGACCCTGTAGATTTAGGATTTGCTACGGGCGAGCGTAAAGCCCTCAGGCCGGCCCGAGTTTCCTGAGGCTGTCAGTCACAAGGAGAGAACATAACAGCAGTGTCCCTCTGAAACGCTGCACCGTGGTGGTCAACTTTCCACAAGCTTTTTTTTAGTCCCATCGATGAGCCACGACTTTCTGAAACAGCATTTAATGCATTTTTGGAAGACAAAGATACCACTTACTAAAGAACAAAAGGCTAATATCTGCAAGGATATTGATGTAGATGTTTGGGCGAGGCACGGCGCTCTCTAAAAGAATCCTTTTTTTGTCAAATTTGGGACATTCGCTCAAAAGCGCCTTCGAAGGTTCACTCTCGGGCAGAATGTGAACAATCGAGCGATCCCGTGATGGTGACGCAAGCAGAGGCTATAAATACTGCAATGATAGGTCATCAAATATCACCGCTTTCACAACAAATCACAGTCTGTCGTGTGCTCGGGAGAGGGAAAGAGAAAAAAGAAATCAATTTCATTGCCCAAAAGCGTGCAACAAGGCCTCGCTCTCGCGCCAGCTGGTTTTTCTGGGCTCTGGGGCCGTTCTGGTCAGACCTGTAATTTCTGAAGCAGCCATCCAGCTGCCTACTTTTTCCTGTGTCAACTTTTAGCAGTGGGCTGCGCCTGCGGCCCCGCTAGACCTGACCAAAGTGGCATGTGGGCCAAGCCTGGCCAGCGTTTTGTGTTAAATGTTCTTACCCCCCCCCCCAACAGAAACAGCAGAGCACAGTTGGTAGCTATTGTGTCTGTGGTGAATTTGGGGCGGTTAAAAAGCAGAAAATGCTTGCTGTGGAAGACTTTTTTTGATTTGCAGTACCGTCTCTCTTCACTCTCTGTCCCACCAGCAGCTCTCTCTTCTCCAGAATGAGCTGAACAATGGCCTTCCTCTGTGTATTGACCTGTTGAAAGAGAGAGAGAGAGAGAGAGAGAGAGAGAAGAAGAAGAAAAAGCGCACTATTAACAAATGTCCGATAAGTTTATTATGACTTTTGTCTGGCACGGATCCCACAGACGGCCTCTTCCAGCCAGCCACATAAACAGGCTCGTCTCTTCCAGTATCCTGCTTCAGAATAGGTCCACCACTTCCTCAGAGACCGGTTGCGACACCTAATACGCGCTTTTAGTGCTTTGCATTCCTCACATCTTTTTTACTCCCGTTGCTGAGAAAGAAATGAGTTGGGGTTTTTTTTTTTTCTGTCAAGCCAGCAAAGTTTTGAGCGAATGACCGAAGGAGGCCCCATGTGAAGTGACAGCAGCGGAGGCTCAGAGAAAAGTCTAAATTTACTGCTACTGTGGAAATGGAGGCATGCGAGTTGCTCTTCGCTCTCCAGACGTTCACTCGCTGGCTCTCATCAGTGAGTTGGCCAACGGTCAAATGGACAGAACGGGCCCCCCTCGGGAAAGGCTCCAGCATCAACACTCCACGTGTCCAATTTTGGGGTGTGTGTGTGTGTGTGCAGGTCTGTCAACATGATACACGGCCAACCTGTCCTCCTGATCTCAAATCCAGTGCAACCTGGTTTTGTAAATACTGTGAACTTGAAAACCAGAAGAGTTTCCATCAGCTCCTTTTTGGCTGCTTTTAAGAGAAATGAATTTGCCTTGTGATGCAACCTCATGCTGGAGTCTTAACACTTGCCCCAAGTGCAAGAAGTTCTTTTTAAAAACAGCACATATGCACGAGATTGCAGTGAAACTTGGGACTGACCCTGACCCGTGCATGAGAAGCTGCATGTGCATGTTGCAAAAAAAAAAAAAAAAAAAAAAAAAAAAAAAAGCTTTTACACTTGCCACACTTTATCGTCCAGGCCTCGTTCATGCCTCAAGCCTCTGCTGCAGTCAGTTGGGTATGAAGTGCTCCTCACGTGCCAAAATAGTTGAGGCTTTCCAGTGAATTGAGATAAAACTGCAGCACAACTGGCACCAGAGTAATTAAACATGGCGGAGGGAGGGGAGGGGATGTTGGCCACAAAAAAAATAAGCTGCAACTCCACACAACCTGACTGCACTTATTGGTAAGCAATAAAAGTGCCAAGTAGAGGAATGGTGCAATATAATAGAGTACGTGCAAGGATGTGGGGGGGGGGGGGGTGAAGTGTGGAATTGCATTTTTTTCTATTCCATATGCCCCCCTGCGAAGATCCCCGTAACCACAGCCCCCCCCCCTTCCCCCAAATATAAGTTACATAACAAACACATTAAGGTCTGCAGGCTTGTAAATATTTTTTGTTGTTGGGACAAACACGCTGTTCGTGTTCTCGCAGGCATGTCTGGTTATTTGAGTGGGGACACAAACCTGCTCCATGCGGTCCTGCAGGATCTTGAAGGACTGAGACAGGTCCCGCGTCTGTCGCCAAGTCCACGCCGTGAACAGCGCGCTGCACGCGGCCATAGACAGCGCCACCAGGGCCAGGGACGCCCAGACGACCCGCAGCTTGCGCACTCGCCTCCTCTGCAGAATCCGATGCATGGTTGGTGCGGACCGCTGCTGCTGGTGCTGCTGCTGCTGCTGCTGCTGGTGCTACTCTCCGCCGCAGACCGTCCGAAAGCCCCACTTCAACTTCATTCCAGCGGAGCGCGAAGCGCCTCCAAATGCGTCTCTGTCCAAACGTCCATTTCGGCGAGAAAGACGCGCGCGAGTGGACAGCCTGCAATTAAAAGCCACCGCTGGCAGATCTTTGTTTAATTCTCTGACAGATGAGGGATTTTAACGCAACAAAACATCCGAGCTTTCCTCCACACGGATCAAAGCCACCATCCTCCCGCGTGCCTCCAAACGCAAGAAAAACTGCTACTCGCGCACATCAACTGTTGCATCCATCGCCTTGTGATTCGTTGACTCAGCGCTCTTGTCTTCCCTTTAAACAGCGCGCTGGGGGGTCACTCCATTAGACAGACAGAGCACACATAAGCTGGAATCCACACGCGCGCACACACGCCCGCGCACACAGAGACTTGGAGGTGAACTTTCCGCGAGCTCTGATGTTGTGATAACAGTACAAGCCAACGAGGTGAGCGTAAGAAGAAAAAACCATACGAGGCGCAGCGGGGCTTCCTCTGCTGCCCCACTCACTCTCATCAACTCGCATGCCTTGGAAATATGTGCCAGTCACGCGTGTAACGGTTCCGTTTGTAACCACGCGGAGGCGGTAGTGTATAGGTAGTGGATGGCGGGGATGACGCTGTGCATCCAGTGCACCATTACCGGGCGAGCCAACGACTGATATTGATCCATATGGACAATTTCTTGATCTGAAACATAAAAGAATATCTTCCAAAGATATTATGATCCATCTGCGCATTGCACAATTGTCATTTCCAACCTCATTTAGTGTGCATATGTTTATGTTTTATTGTTTTTTTTAGTATGTACACTGAGCATCTTTGAGATTTATTTCTGATTTAAATTCTCATTTGAACATTTTATTAGGACATTTATAGGCCCGCTATAGGTAAAGTGCTATTGCATTCCATGTATATACCATATGGTATATACATTTCTATATTTTGATTTCAGTCGTTATTTTTCCAAATGTGAATCATTTTGAATTTACAATTAGATACGTTTATAAAAGAAAAAAAACATCTATAAGTCTGAGGTTTTATTCTTTAGAGTCAAATGGACAGAGCAGTCAAACAAGTATACAGAGTAGAACACTTGGCTTTCAAGAACAGGAAGGCTGAAATACATTTCTCATGCAGGTTCTAGGCTAAAGGTAACATGGCTTTAGATATTTAAGTATCAGGATTTCTGGAACAGCAGGGAGCGTTTTGTGGCCACTTCAAACAAGTCCCCCCCCCCCCCCAACTATGACCATCTTTATTTTCAACTTCAGAGACAAAATCCGATCCATTTGACACATTTAACATGTAGGCCTCTGCTGGCAGAAAACATCAATGACAACACGTATAGCGTTTGAAAACACAGTCGGCTATTAAGAAATGATTTCACATATGAATACTGGGATACACACTGAGGCTCTTCCTGACAACTTAACCAAAAGTTCACCAAAGTATACTTACACTGACTGTTACACTGTGCAGTACTTTCACATGCGTGGGCACACACACACACACACCCCCTGCAGACTAAATCTGAATCATCTGTTCCTGTCTTTTGTATTCAAAGTTGCTCTTCAAGGTGATTTATTGCTATCAGGTATCAGGGTTTAATCTTGGACTTTGACACTGTTTTAAGAATCCATGTTGGGAACAAAGTTGTATAATTTACAGCTGGGGGCTGTAATTCTGAGGTTATAAATATCCCTTCATGTTCCCTTGACTCTGTATCGAGCATGCGCTCTAATAGCACAATGACAGCACATTCAATGCATCAGGAGAAACTTGAGACCTTGGGTGCAAAGAGTACTGCAGCACACTTTGAAGCTAAACTCTGAAGTGTCTCTTCATACAAGATTGCCCAGTTCCAACTTTTTTTGTAGTTACATTTTGCACTTTGAAGCAAACATGCATAAATAATATCCCAAAGATTAAAAAAAAACTGCATTCTTTATGCAATTGAATTATTTTGTAAAGTATGAAATGAAAAGCAAATTGCAAAAGCTACAAAAAAGAATCCGTGGTTTTTACTTGTTTAGAGTTACGGAAAAAATAAAATAAATATAACCCACAACTCAGACTGTTTTCATTACATTGCTGGAAATGATACAGAAAGCCTTATTTTCTTTTTTTTAAATTAGACTAGATATGAAACAGAAGTGCAGACCAGAATTATGCCCCTTTTCATTTTTGCAGGACAGTTTCAAAGACACGGTATATGAGCCCAGTCTTTATTTTCCTAAATTCCACCAGATGGATCATTTATGTCTGATTTTAGGTTCATTTCTTTGAAACCAGTCCAAAGAGTTTGTTGTATTTCTCTGCATTCCTTTACTTACACAATTTCATCATTTAGTACATACAGTAGCCTACATAGATTCAAAGGAAGAAAACAGTGCAAATACCTGAACATTGTGCTTCACAACAGCTTTACAGCACTCCTTATCTGGTAGACGAGGGGAGAGGTGACTCTTTGGTTGCTGTGGTCATAGTTTACAATACATTTAAAGGGATAAGATACAAAACTCACTCTTTTGCATCAGTCATACAATAAAATGTACAGTACATATTGGCTTTGTAATGCATAAGGTTTTTGTGAAATTTTGTGCAAAAAAAAAAAAAAAATCTATTTTCTAGATTATTGTGTGTCAAGACTTCCACCAAAACCCACACACCCCACCACATACACACTCCTGTCAGACCTTTCTCGTGCCCATATGTACACGTTTTTTTCACAAGAAGAGAAGTTATGTTATTTGATCCATTTAACACCGAAATCAAAAGCGCTCGAGTCAAAACATATCACAAGGGAAAAACACTAAACATAGATTTCAGTGCCTCGGATGTACTATTAAAATGTATTGCGTAGGCCCCGTTCCAATACTTGTAACTGCATCCTTGACTTACTAAGTAATATGCCAACTGACTGTTTGTTAAACCCCCATTTGAACTGGAACAAGGCACAGCAGGTACATGGTGAAGCGGTGTGCATTAGGCTGTAGTAAGACCGATACCGCGTATATATAATGAGTTTGGAGGGTCTTTTTGTTTTTAGCGGTACCAAAACCAATAAACCCAACGTTAGCTGCAAACGTTAGCATACCTGGCTAACTACCAGTCGTAACTGAGCATAACTGCATTATTTTGTGGGATTACAAGTTAAATTGGGATGAAACATCAATTGCCAAAATGTGCTATGTCAGAGTTTAGGCTAATGTTAGTGCTTCTGCTCATTTGATTTGAAGTTTTCACTCCAGCAAATCTAGTAAACGGAATTTTTGCCTGGAACATCTAGCTTTAGCCTCAGTCTTTTAACTATATACGGTGTAGGTAGAAACCATGTGTACATTTTACAGGGTTTTTGGTTTAAAGACAGCTGAAGCATCAAAAAGTTGACTAATTTGCTGAAGCTAGCTAACTACAGCTGTTATGTCCCGCATCTCGAACGCAGACTGGCTAATCATAGCATAGGCCAGCTTTAACAACTATCCTGCTGTGCTCCATAGACTCTCATGCAATTGTTTCAAGTTGTATTCATTTCCAGACGGATTTCGAGCTAGTCATGGTTAAACTTGCCTCGGGTAAAAGTAATAGTGACACCTGTTACCGTTAGAGGTTGACTGTTATACCGTGTAGTAATCATATACACCTCTCATAGAAATAATCATTAAAACAGATGTTAAAGACACAAAAAGCAACACTGGGCAGAACAAGGCGAGTTCAGTTTAAATAAGTCATGTTATTTAATCTGGATATTTTGATATTCGTGTGGCATGCACTACGTCATAGCACGATGACACCACATTAAATGTACTTTTGTGTGCAGATTTTGCACATTGAAGCAAATATACATAAATATTTTACAATCCAATACCCCCCAGAAGAAAAAAAAAAAAAAAAAAAAAAAAAAAAAAAAAAAAAAAAAAAAAAAACTAAAACCGCAAATTTTCATCCAATTAAGTCAAGTTAGTGTCAGCTAATAAGCTAATGCTAGCTGACAACAGCTACTAAAATATCACAGTTTTTGTCATTGCAGTCATTTGCTATAAATGAGAGGCCTGGTTTTCTTTACCTTTGTGTGTTTGAAAGATTTAAATTGTAAGTGCCATTGTTACTGTTGTAAACTGCATATGTGCTGTGCTAGCATGGAAACTTAATTAGCGTAGTAAAAGTAGCTAAGGGGGAGGAGCTTAACAAACAGTCAATTATTCTAATGATCTGCTTTTTGAGAATTCGGCTTAATGATTGTCATTGTCGAGTTTTGGAATGGGGCCACTGAGCGGTGCTCTGTCCCTGCACTAAGTGACCTAATGGTTGCAAAGGTCTTGCCGTCGTGAGCCCAGATGTCGGGTTAGGGTTGGGCCAGATGCTGCAGCGCCTCTCCGTCGCAGCGCATACAGTGGTAGCCCATGCTAGCCGTGATGTCGACGCTGCCCTGGCTGAAGTAAAAGTCCAGAGATGGTTTGTTCCAGTCCAGGACGGTGAAGTTGAGCTGGTTGCAGCCGGCAGCGAGGCCCAGCTACGAGAGCAGGAAGACGGACATGAGGGACAAAAAAAAAATATATACAAACGCTACGAGGACACGTTACGCACTATTTTGCAGGACTTTCTTTGTAGGGAGAGAAAAGAGGCCCACGGTTCAACAAGTACAGTGCATTTCCATGTCATTAATGTCACAGTTAAATTAGGGATTGCTGTTTTACTCACCTGAGCTACCTTGCTCATAAGTGCTTTACCAATGCCCTTCCCTGAAAGACAGATGTCATGAATTACTTTACAATTTCCTGCACATACAGACATGTTGTTTTTATGTTGCAGCTTGTTTTCTAGATAATAGACAGTGCACTGTACCTCTGAACTCAGGCATCACGTACAAATCCTCCATATACACGGCTCTGCCTGACCATGAGCTGTAGGAGTAAAAGTAAAGTGCATATCCAATCTTCGTGTGGCCTGAAAATAAAAAAAACGTGAAGGAACAGGTGATTTTAATTACAGTAATCCACTTTTAAAAGCAGCAGAAAACTTGTTTATTCATTCTAGTAAACATATTCTAATTAATTTGAGTTGTTTGTATAAGTCACCAGTTTGTTTTTCCTTTGCACTACATGCTTGTAGTTTCAGAAAGTGGCAAAAGAGAGATTCAATAATGGATTTGTTTGCAGGGAATCCCAGAAATTATTTGTTGTTCGTGTTGCTATATCTTGTTAATAGCTGGTAGCGGCTTGATTTCAGGATGGCAACAACAGGCTAGCATCTTTTTAACCGGTAGAAATTACCACGACATTTGTCTTTCCTCCATTTGGTGCGGTCATTATTAGGCCGATTATAACTTCCACAAGCTAATCTTTATCCTGTAATACAATTATACATTGGTGGGGAAGCTGTTTGACTATGAATGTGCTCTATTATCAGAGTCATGGGCGTAGTAAGTCAGGCAGCCATTCCTCAGTTTGGAGTCAGATATCTGAGGCCTGTGGACAGTGCCCAGCTGGGCAGCAGAGCCTATGTTAATGTTCTCAATGCTGTATTCTGAGGAAAAGCAGAGCGTTAGCCTTATATAAGCAATTTGTTACGAGAGAGGCCTCATCAGCAGTGTGCCGTTACATTAGGTAACATAGCTAATAAATATAGACTAATGAACCTGGTAACAGGCTGAGAACAAGTGTTACATGTTGCTAGCATTTTTATGATCTAATTTACTGACTAATGTTGCTCCATATCTGTCTGATGTTGGCTGCTGAAAAATCTTGTTGGTTGAAAAATTGAACTATTTGCTGACAAGTTTGGCCTATCAACCTTATAAGTTATCAGTTATCAGGACTAGATGATTAATGGAGATAGATAACAGGAACAACAGCGTTGTGGGTGTGGAAATCTCAGCGATGCGTATAACGGACTTTTGAACTCAACGCGTAGGCTTCAAAAAGATGTGTCTGCAACAACCACAACAACAACTTCTTGGTAGTTAGCTGTTAGCGGTTAGCCAAACACACCGTCCACAACAATAAAAGTGAGCTGGTACAGCAGCGTGTGTACTGGTAGGTCCGTTAGCTGTTAGCTAACCACATTTATCTTTGTGAGCTATGCCTCTTATTAAGCAATCTTAAGGGTGAAGGACAAGCCATGATAATAGTATATACATCTAGAAAACAATGGCTAGATGTGTGGTTTAGAGTAGACTATCTAAATGAGCCACTTTAAGCAGGGGGAAGAGGCTCAAAGTCAAATTAAAGGATTAATCAGCGTTGAATTGCATAGTCAGGGAAAAAATGCTGCATGTCAGACTTCTGGCCACAGTCCAAACAGTGAGGTCGTTTAGAGAGTTTATAAAACGACCTGCTGTTACATCACTGATCAGAGCGGCTGCACAGGAACAGAGGTGTAGTTCTATAACAATGTTTCTTGTGTCATGAGAGGGTATTAGACCTTTATAGTTTGTGTTAAACTAAATATCTGTACACATCTACACGATTGCTTGCAGTTTGAGACGGTTAACAGTGTTATTGATGGTTCCTCCTCACCTTCTTTAGTTTTGTGCTGTTCTGGCACCTCAGCGACGATCCCATGGAAGAACGGGTTCTTGGAGAAGCCGTCCTGCTCCAAGTCTGCATATGAAATATATACATGTTTTATATGTTTATGCTTAAATAAAGCACTTTAAATTGCCTTTGTGTTACTGTGAAAGTTGAACAAAACAACCCTCAATACAAGGCCCATTCAGTAGCTTTTGATTGTATAACGATCTTAATCGATTGTCATGGAATTGTTCGCGTTGACGTAAATGTTTACGTTGAGCGTCTTTAGAGACGGCAGCCAAAAATCTCGCCAAGAGGTCCATTTATTAGCTGTTCTGGAGCTTTCGATCATGTCACATCATCTTCTTAGTTCATCATCCTCAAGGAGCAAACTTTGACAAAAAGTACAAAAGGTGCCAAGACAAATGGAAATTTCAACTGTGCGTCTGCTGAGGAAGATCATGTGGTATCATTGAAAGCTCCAGAAGGGCTACTAAATGGACCTTGTAGTGAGATTGTACTTTTTCCAAGGACAGTATTGAACTGTCCTACTGGGATACTGTCTGGATTCCACATTGTTCATTGTGAAATTGAAATAAATATAAATCATAAAGACAAAGCAGAGAACATTATATTTTAACAGATTATTTTCAGCACAGCTGTTACCTCTCTGTGTGACTTTCACGTGGTCTGCTACCTTCTCATATTCAGCCAACTCCTGTGAAAAACATACAAATGACATCACTTATTAGGCCAACTATTCCTGAAATATCACAACGTTTCCTTAAACACGTCAGTGAGCCTAGATGTCACTGAAACACTGAAATGACTGCATACCATAAGGTGCACACGTGCTCTAATAAAACAGCAGGTCGTCCAATAATTCGTCAATTATCATATCGAGGGACTAAGGGTACTTCTCAAGTCTCTTAATTGCATCCCCGTTTCCCTCACTTGCGTCCTTTCCTTGCGTCTTAGTCCCTCCCACCAGGGATGCATGGAGGAAACCATGCGAGGAGAGAGGAACGAGGAAATATGTTTTAAGAGACATGAGACGTCCT